GTAATGTGATGCCACCATTAAATAAAATGCTACATTTCAGTTAGAATTAGGGAAAATCAAGATGCATTTTACCTCTTCCTGATTCCATACTCCTGTCTGATGGAAGGATAAAGGGCGGAGTTCAGTGAACAGGGAGTGTTCAAGGTGGGGAATCCGAGCAGGTTGGAGACCAGCTCCAGCTAGATGTCGTGTCAGGGATCTCAGCAGGAGAGGACGGCCTTGGTGAAGTTTTTTGGAGGGCTGAGGGGAAGTGGAGCCAGGTAGGAGTGAGGAAGACACAGACACCTTCTCTCCTGCAAGTATCTCCTCCTGAGGGTCTCAGCAGGTCTTTCTTTATACCTTAAGGCCAGCGGTGAGATGACATCAGCATAAGCATCAAAGCAGAACAGAGACAATCATCACATATTTCCTCATGAACATACAAAGACCCTCTTGATCTCATACTACAAAAGGACACTTCCTTAATCTGATTAAGAAAATCTACAGGGGGCCTCCCCGGTGGTGCAGCGGTTGAGCACTGGGTTGCGAAGCTGCCCGCAGCCTCTGCAGTGCCAGTTCAATCCCCAGCTGCTCCCTGGCCTCCGGAGGAGGGTCCCACATGGCGCGCAGACCTCTCCTGCCGCCCGCTGCTCCCCTCAGCAGTGTCCTTCGGTCCTTCTGCCTGCTCTGCTCCCGGCTCTGGCTCTGGTGAATTCTCTCACCCTCCCGCGCTTCTGACTGTACCCAGTGCTTGTATAAATAAATAAATAAATAAATCTTTGAAAAAAAAAGAAAAGAAAATCTACATGGACAATGACTCCCCTAGTTACAGCTCTTTTTCTAACATAATCCATTGTCTAAGACAGTACAATGTTCAGTAACAATCAATCACCCTGTCAAGCCTTCCTAATTTCCGAGTGGACATGAAAGTCCATTGTTATGCTCTATGACTAAAATCAACCCATTCCCTAGTACTCAAATCCTCCAGCCCATTACCAATTACTTCAAAGTGATCAAAAGTAACTCATCAATACTGTTTAGTTCTACAGAAATCTAACCTTCAACTAGAAATACCGAACCTCCCCACAACCTGCACACTGTTAACTTTTCACAAACACCAGGAGATGTACTGTTGCCGCAAACAGGTACCCCCAGGTTAGGCTATGGTTTCCAGGCACAGTGGGTTCAGGGCGGCTTGTTCTCCAGAGTTCTCGGGGCCAAACATTTCTTTCCTAACTATATCTTTAACAATTTTTACTTCTTTTGTGACAGTTCATGCGTAACAACAATAAGCCAATTGTCACCTGGGTCTGATTTAGGTTTTCACAGGCCAATGAATAACTAACTTACTTCAGCATTAACCAGGAACAAAGAGGAGAGCTTTAGCAGGCTTCGCCATGAAGATTCCCTAGTTCAGATCTTCTTTGGGAGGTGCAAGGACTCCCCTCTTCTGCGAAGTACAACTTTCCCTCTTTGGGGGAGCACAGGGACTCCCCGCTTCTCGGAGGTCTCCCCCAAAGCCCAGACCATGTCAAGCATGGGAGGCGCAGCCTCCCGCAGAGCAGGCTGGGAAGGATGAGACCAAGCGATAGAATAAAGAGGGCTGCCCTCACTTCCTCATGCAAAGAGGGGGATACCAATATACAGAAATGTCCGGAAAAACAGGTCCGGAGGCCCATGTCCAAGGCCTCTGTTCCAATGAACGAAAGCAAGAAGTCACACACTTGGAGGTCACAGGCCAGCTGGTGAGAGGGAAGACCCAGGAGAGGTCTGAGGACAGAGCAGGGAGGCTCAGGACAGCTGAGACCAAAGACTGACACAGCTGAGGCAGGTCCATTCCTGCTGGGCTCTTCCCAGGGATGTTCTTCATAAATGCTCCGGTGCAGTGGCACGCGATGAAATGTTACTGTGATCAAGAAAGACAAACTCTCACCATCTGCGGTAACAAGGATGGAGCTGGAAGGGTACACTAGCCGATGGAGTCAGAAGGAAGAATATAAATACCGGATGGTCTCACTGATATGTGGAATATAGAGAAAGCAAAAAAACAAAACAATCAAGAAAAAGACAAAACTAGCAAACTGACCACAGAGCTGAGGTGCACAGCAAAGGAAGGAGAGTGAGGGGGGCGAGACAGGAGAGGAAAACACAGTGATGGTCCACGGGTGATGTGGCGGTGGGAGAGCTAGGGGGACTACTGAAAGAAAAAAGAAATGCTCTGGTGCCCAGTGAGGCCTGGAGGCAGGGCACCTGAGAGCTGAGAGGAGACAAGAGGCTGCCCACACAGAAGAGCCTTCATGACTGATGCCTGAGGGGAAAGTGTGTGCAGGGGCCTGGGTTAGGGGACTGACAGAAAGGGTGACGTGGCAGGCGACGAATACTTGAAGACTGCAGTTTGGGAAAATCACAACTGGAAAGCACCATAAAGGGAGGATGTGATCCCAGGTCCACCCGGGGCGTGTGGCACTCCATGTATGGTTGGTGTTAAAATTTTTCTAGCAAACGCCAACAGCTTGACAGCTGTGATCAGCTCTAGAAGTGAATCAGCCGGACTTTTGAAAGTTCCTGTAAGAATTCCTCCCTCATTCCTTCTCCTGTGCCATCCCCCTCATACAAGCTGTTCTCAGAACACAGATAAAGGCCCGTCAGCCAGAGAGGAACCATGTTCCAGACATCTCATGTAATGCTTACTTATCGCCAGAACCTTCCATGGCTTAGATGTGCCTTTCATCTGTCTCCCCCTGATCCATTTACCCTTGGCATGGACTCCAGGTTAGCTCCTTCCCTCTAGCGCCCATGCTGCCTCCCATCACCTCCAGCAATCCTCTTTTCTCATCCTTTCCCTGCCACTGGCTTCCTCTCTAATGCATGTAGTTCTAGCACTTCAGAGCCAGACTGATTCCCAGCTGGTCTTCCCAGATACCCTTTGGTTCCTGAGGAAACCTAAATGTCAAGTCCAGATTCCTTAGACCGGCACACTGAAGACTGACTGACTTCTCCAGGCTCCCCTGTGAACTCCCATATACCAGATGAGCAGCCTCAGAAGATCTACAAAGACTGGGTCACAGGTCTTGTCCCCACCAATCATCTCATTAGCTACTGTTCCTGCTGGTCCTTGATGATGGGGTCCCGAGTGATTCACCATGCCCCAGGCAATCTCAGATAGCCCTTGTCTGATTTCCACTCCTCAGTGTGCTCTAAAAGGATATTAGAACTTGGGGGAATTCAAGACTGAGGACTGCTAAGCGCCCGCAGGCTTTGTGGACATAGTCCCTTTCAGCTGCTGTTACTAAGGACCCCTTGGCGTTCTTGAGAATTGTCCAGTATGTCCTTCTTCCAAAGCATTGATTGCCAGTGTGCACAGGTCAGAGACAATAGGACTTACATACATAGATGTTCTAGGACATAATTCTGGAGTGGAACCCCCATCAAATTTGAGCACAAATATTGATCAAGAAATGAATTAATCTGTAATTGCTTAAGAAGCGCTTCTAACATTTTTTAGGGTTTCATTTTCACTCATGGCCGAAGGGAGAGTTTGGTTGGATCAAAAGAAGACAGAACTTCAGTAAAATCAGGAGAGAAATGTGTTTCCAGAATTAGGACAGCATTCAGAGGAAGTCCAAACACCAACTTCCATATAGTGATCTCATTTTGCACAGCCTTGGCTGGGCCACATCCCTGCTGCAGAAGCAGTCACAGGTCAAGTCACCTCACAGGAATTCACCCAGCAGATGTAGACTCAGTCATGTCATTTTTCATATTGAACCACCCAGACTTGTCACACCAGGTGCTAAAAAGGCATAGGAGAAAAGCAGCAGGAAGTAAAACTGGAAATTGGTTGTGCAGCAGGAGAGGGTGGGGGATACATGGGCATGGCAGGACACAGACTTCTCTTTGACCAGGAAACAAAAACCTGAATGACTTGTAGTATAATGCATGGGTTCTTATTAAGCAAGTGTCCCCAAACTATGGAAGCAACACTGATCTAGTAGAAGAAAATATAATCCCTGGTCTACAAAACAAGAAATGGGCCTAATATGAGAGAAACCAACATCACAAAGAAATTCCAGATTTGGGAAGGAACGACGAGCTCCTGCATTGGACCTAAAACTTGGGACAGTGGAGTCTTCCATCAAGGGCTGCCTGCCAGGCCACCCCATGGACAAAATTCATCATCACATTTTACAGTTGAGCAGTTGGTACTTTGAGCTTTGACTAAGTGCTCTCCCTTCCTCACTGTTCAGAACTGCTCTTAGGTGTACTACACGATTATAAGATGTGAGAATGTTATGTGTGTGCTGTGATGGTCCCCACGGCAGCAAGGATTTGTTGCAACTTGATTGTCCAAATGGGTGGGCCAAATGCTGAATGCATGAACATCAGACCAGCTCAGAAAGGCCTGAATACAAAGATTTCATCTTTGTATTATTATTTCCAATTTTTCATTGTTGTGAAGTGAAGGGAGACTACGCACCAGAAGACCTGCCTGCGTGCACGCTCTAGGCCAGCAGAGGGTGGAAAGGGAGGCTGGTCCAACCGGGAGTCAGCTCCTATCAGGCCAATTAGCAATTTGCCTGAGCTCCCTGAAGATGGTGACCCTTCAACACCGCTAAGAAAGAGGGAAGCAAAGATGCTCTTGTAAATAGTCAGATACAACTTAGGAAAGTCCTGTAGAGATCAGTGTGAGGTAGTCACTTAGTCATGAAAATAACAAATAATTTTAAAACTTGTTTCTTTAAAGTCTGTGCTGCCATCTTCTTGTCTAGACCAGCCTGTCTCTCTCTCTCTCTCTCTCTCTCTCTCTCATACACACACATACACACACACACACACACACACACACACACACAGATGCACACAAACCATACACATACTACACGCCACCTATGCTCACATATGCACACCACCCCACGCACACACTAAATACCTCCACCGACCCACTCCCATCTCTGCCTCAGAGTTCACAACCCGCCAGGCGCACGCTCGCGAAGCCCCCGAGGTGACCCAGGAAGACAAGAGCCAGAATCGCTTCTGTTGGTCAATTTTTATTGGTTACTCTCACCCTTCACCCCAGCGATGCAGACTGTGGGGGACAGCAGGAAGCCCCGGGGAGGCAGAGCCAGCAGGCGGGGAGTGCGGGGCTGGGCCTGAGCACAGAGCGCACCCCAGGGCCAGGGAGTCCCTCCCCCCACAGCAGTGTGGCCATCACAACCCTGGGAACAGCTGCATGTACTGTCCTTTTTTTTTGCTTTAATAATAAAAGAGGAAAGGAAAATTGTCTATAATGTATCTGCTATTCTTGCTATCCACATTATATATAAAATATAGACTCTGTTTACTTTATAACACACATCTTTCCCCTTGATAAATAACTTCAAAATATCTAGTATACATGCCTTGACCTTGTCATATATGCTTGGTTTTCTACATACATCCATACATATATATATAAATATATACATATATATACTCACGTCTGTAAAACACAATAAATACATCCTCGACAATGACAACTGAACAAATGCAATTTTGGTTTAAAAAAAAATGAAGGACTTCTGTGAAAGCACCAGGCAGCAAACAGAAAACCATAACTGCTAGAAACTTCTTCCTTCCCCGGGGCTAGACAGGGCCCAATTCTAAATATGTTTGGTTGCCTAAACAAGAAAGAGGGTCTAAGGAGGCGGTCAGGTCCCTGCTTTTGTTTCTTTTCCTGGGATGTGACTAGAGTTACAAGTAAGTCATTACATTCAGAAGGACACCAAGGGGTCCTGGTGATGCTTCAGGGACAGCAGAGACCCGCACAGGAAGGGAAACGCAATGGCCGCAGGCCACCGTGGGGCAGAGCCCGGCCTGCCTGACAGCCTAGCTAAGTGCAGAGCCATCACGTGTAGCACAGTCTTGCTATTACTCTGCTCGCTGTGTAAACAGAAAGGGTGCAGCAGATTCAAGAGTGTTCAGTAGTGCAACACTTTAGTAGCCTGACTGAGCCAGATGCTCCGGTGCCCTGTCCAGGACTCCAGCACAGAGAGACTGGGATGTGGGGAAAAGGAAGGTTCGGAGGCCACTGCTTTGCACTGCTCACTGACTGGGGTCACTCAGCACAGTCCTGGCTTCAGCTCAAGATCCAGTGAGACCACCGAGCCTATCGCCTGTTGCAGCTGCCCAGGAGGTCTTCACTGTTCTTGTAACAAGTGCTGGAAGCCACTCAGTAGGGCCACCCCTGAAATTGGGAGCACTCCCTGTCTGTCCACTTTCCTGCCCAAGGGGAGGTCAGCCCAATGGCTGCAAAGTCTGCAGCCACATTGTGGAGCAGCACACCTTTCTTTCTCTGCCCTCCACCCGGCTCCAAAAGGGAATGAAATGCAGCATGAACTGTTGCTCTTTTTTGTTTAATGAGCTCCCACTTCCACAGCCTCTGCAGTAGAAAAACGGAGGCAGCAGGTGAAGCAGAGTCCTCAGCTAGTGGAGCCCTAGGTCTGGATCTAGGATTGGGGTGGGGGCAACCTAAGGAGAGCTGGCCTCAGGAAATCCGAAAAGTAAACATCTGAATTGCTGTCCCTGTTCCCCCTACTATAAGACAAAGCAGAGAGAACTGTTCACCTTACAATCACAATGGGAAAGTTTAAACAGCTCGTTTTTTGTGGTACAGTCCAGCCATAATTGAGTTTCTAAAAACATTCAGTCAGATACAACAGCTCAGGGAATACAGCCCATAGCAGGCTTGAGTTCTAGATGCAACTCGGACCAACCAGCCAGGACCTCAGACAAGTCACTGCACCTCTGAGCCTCCCTCTTCCTATCAGAGAGGCCCCAAATCCTGGTATGAGCACAGTGTGACTTAGAAATCTGGGTAACCTGTGGTACCACTAAGAAGTACTGTAACCTTGACCATCATGTCACCTCCCTGGGATGTAAAATAAAGGAACTGAATATGCTGGACAGAATCCAGGGCCAATGGATTCACTTTCTCCCCAGGTTATCACTGGCCACGGCTGAAGCCACCCCTTCCCGGCCCAACCCACCAGAATAAAGACAATCACATCAGACACCGAATTTATGAGCCCAGACCACATTCAACAGCTTCTGCCATGAGACAAGATAGTTAAAAGCAGAGAAAGGTATGAATTCAACATACAGCTAAAATCGAAGTCACAAATGAACTGTAAAAGCTCCACTCCCTGAGAAAAGGCGTTTTCCCATGGGATACACCCAGACACCGAGAACACATTTGACAGTCATTGGTAATAACTGGCCAAGGACATTTGAAAATCCTAGGTCTGGGGCTTGCTGCATCACCTACACTCAAAGTCAACTTAGGAAGTCAATTTTTAAAGGAGTTGAGCGATATTTGTTTCGGAAGGAAAAGAAAAATCAACTTCTGCTGCAGCTCTCTAACTAACCTTCTGGAGGAATGTGAGTGTGGCTTCCTGCTCACAGGAGGGTGTTGACAGAAGTGCAAAGAGCCCCATGCAGGTTGCAGTGAGCCCTTATCACAGCTGCTCCACAGGGCAGGAGGGCAGCCCCCTACAGAGTCCGCAGGGAGTGCTTTCCTGCCCAGGAGAAGGACAGAGGCCCAAATCCTTCTTCTAGGGAGGGAAACTGGTTTGATGGAGAGGAAAGGCTTTGGAGTCCATTTTGCTTAATAGCTGGACTTTCGGAAGTTGCTCTTCTTCAGAGTCTCAATTTTCTCACATATAAAATGGGACCAGCAATACCCACTACTGAGCGTGGTTTACAGATGAATGAAATCACAGATCTACAACACTGCGCACAGTAGAAAAATCAAGAAATGTTGGCGCACAGGGGGTTCCTCAATGGCTCTCTGCAGATAAAGTGTTTGGGAGGAGCTGTCTTGAGTTGGAGAGGGCCAAGGCTGCCCCTGAAGTGTCCAGATACACCTGACACAGGTAATGAAGGCCAGGCAGACTAAGGAATGTGGCTGGACTCTGCAACACCTCTCCCGTCGTGGAGAGACTTAGTGATTGCAGACTCTCCAGAAGAAAGCTCAGAGAATCCAAACTTTCCAAATAAGCCCAGAGCATTTCCAAATGCTGGACACCAGTGGGTACCAGAACATCAGACTTATATCCTCTTTCAGGATTGGGAATTTGGGATCCCTGTGAAAGCAACCAGTGGCATCAGCCACATGTTCAGTACTAGAAGCAGCCACATGTGGCAGAAAGTAAACCAGGGAACGGCAGAACTAGATGTGAAAACCTGAAAGTGCTGCCTCCATCCCACAGGTTCCTTGCTACATCTTAAACAAAGCTGAAAGGCGCCGGATTATCACCAGGACTTCACCCCAGGTCAGTCAGTGGATGTGCCCAGACACCTAAGGGCGCTATTGACCATCTGGGCTGAAACAAAGCCTTCCGCAGAGTGCCGTCCAGGGCTTAAGATGACCGTTTCCTATTGTGTCTCCCAGTCGAGGCTTTGCAAGTGGTAAGACTGGGACCAACGGAGCACTAACGTGTATCCCAAGTGCACTCGCAGCGAGTTTTGTATTAAAAAGTCAACTATCTGGGGCTTTATTCCTCCCATTTCTTCATCTACCTACTACACGCGTTGCAGTAGATAAAACTGGAATAAACTTACTAAAATATTTTTCATGCTTCTCTAAAAGTCTATTTTCTTTCTATATACCCCAGCCTCAAATGAGAATTTTTGTTTCAGACATGGAGCTCAGAGGCCTCGTGGGAGAAACCTCCCAAGTATCATGGCTAAATGGAGAAACCTAAAATGAAAATCCCAGGAATATCCCAACTTACATTATCAACAATTTAGAAAAATGAAACGCATAGAGTCACTGGTTTCCCTCCCTATTCAATCACAGCCTCGTAGGCCAGCTAGAAAAAAACTTGTTTCCACTCAGAAGGCAATTTAGGACAACCTGAAGCAATACAGTCCCTGGCATGGCCTCTGCTCAAATTTCGGGGAGACTTTCATTCTATCAGATGTGGTTTTGAACTGATAGTTGCCAAAGCTGGAAAAGTCCCGTAGCCTTGTCAGCAATGGACAACACACCAGTACAAGAGAGCATTTCAGCTGTAAGGCCCGGGAAGTAGCAAGATTCTTTGCAGGAAGGCAATTTTAACCTCTGAGCTGGAAAATGACTTGAGCAACATTCTGGACATGAGGGCTAGCGGGAGGAGCCACCTGGAATTCCCAGGGCACTGACCTTGGGAAGGGGATGGAAGCTACAGCTCTTGTGCTGTTCGTGTTTGGACTCTGCTATTGCAGAGCTGGGGGTCCATTAAATTCCCGTCTAGGCCATGTATGTGAAAAGAAGCCTAAATCCCAATTGTGTGCTCAAGACTGCTATTAGATTTCCATGACCTGTGAACAAAAGTTATGTAGTAGACTCCACATGCAACTCTGACAAAGATCTTACATGAACAAGAGATAACCCAAGGACAATTTCCCATTTTCAAAATGTATTTGACTAGGTCTTTCTTTCAAGACCAGATCTGAATTTTTTCAGGAACGATTTTAGTGACACTTGGTGGTAGAAAGAGGAAGCATTTATGAAACCTTAGGCGTACATGTGTGTAGGAGCGACAGATGGAAACACACACACACACACACACACACACACACACACACGATATTCTCTTTGGGCACTGCCTGTGCAAACCTGCAGATTGCTCTCTCCAGAGGGTGACAAGACAAGAGAGACAGGAGAGCAAGGACAGGAAAAATACGTTTTTCCCTCCATGAGCCTCTTGACCCTATGTGAAGTATACACATCAGAGGGCTCTAAAGCTCCATTTTAGAAACACTGAAAATTATGTTCCTTGTTTTCCTTTTGCTTTGTTTTGTTTAAAAGCTTTTCAAAAATTTTCAGGCGTCAGAATCATAAAAGCAAAGGTCAAAGCTAAGAAAAGAACTGTAACTTTTTTTTTTTCAGGGAAGATTATATCTGAGTAGCATTTAAAAGGCTTCCCTTTTAAATCCACAGCACTGGGTGAAGCTCCTAAAAGCCCGTCTCCAACTAGTAGAAGACATGGGTGTTGGAGCAACTCCAGGGCTCACTTACTTTCCCTTCTACTGAGGAATTCCCACAGTAACGTGGGGCTCCCAGCTGCTTGCAGTCTTGGAGGGCAGCCTGTCAGCTTCTGGGCAAACCATAGCTCCTCCTGTGTTCTTGGCCCTGCCTGGGCAGCCTTGTGAAAGGACCACCTCAACACATCAGTACCAAACTCCTCTTACATTCAATTCCACTCCACCAGAAATACTGTTGTAAAGGTGATTCTGCAGGCTTTTTAAATGGTTGACAAATTCAAAGGCATATTTTATTCGCTGCCTCATCTGTTTAGATGCAGCATGTGCTCTCCTTTTGGCTTAAGGAATTCTCTCTGCTTGCTCCTCCTGGCACTCCCTTATCCCTCTTCAGGCCAGCTGAAGGGCAATGAACCAATTAGGAAGACACTTTCCAGGGCTTCCACTGAGGAAGATGAATTAATCAAGAAAGCTGTATACTTTGCTACCAAGTCCCCTTTTTCTTCAGACACTTCAGGTGGCTTCCTGGGATTTGAACTTTTACTCAGGTGCCCACTGTACCTACCCACAACCCTGCCCATTTTCCTCCAGACTCGCAGGCTTGTGTGACCATGCGGGGACTTGCCTTCTGCCCGTAGTGGGTCACAATAAGGCCAACACCCACTGACCTTGCCATCAGCTACAGTGCCTTGACCTTGACCTCACAGGAGCATGTGGTTACAAAGGAGGCCAAGGTGGGGTGAAGTATGGTGTTGGGAGGAAAGCCCTCCTTGCTCCTCACAGTAGCTGCCACAGAGGCAGCTAAACCTCCCTTACACAAATGGCAGCAGAGAGGATCTCAGGAACACCTCGGCTGTAAGCCCAGCGCCTGCCAACAGTCTTGTTTGGGGCCCCTCAGCTGGGCTGAGTTTCTCCTCTTGCCCATACCATTTACTACACTGCTTGCTCCCTCTCTACCTCACTCTCCTGGAGGCCACAGCTTCTCCTTGCCTCCTCTCCAGGCCCCCAGAAGGCCTAAGACACCTAGGCCCAGTCTGCGCTAACAGTACAGGGACATTCTGCTGCGGCGCATGGCCTCGCTGATCAGGTAAGCCGGACTCAGCTCTGGCTCCTCAGTCATGATGGCAATGTTCTGCCACTCGCCAGTCTGGCTGGACCGTTTGATGGTGTCCACCACGCACAGGGCGTACAGGCAGTCGTCAAAGGTGGCCGCCATGGTGAGTGGCCTCCCGTCCCATGTGCGCCGGTCGTCCTGGTCCTGGAAGGCCTGACGCACGGCCTGCATCATCTTGATGGTGCCGCGGAGGTAGGGCGAGGGGATGTCGCTGAAGGCCTTCTCCGGCAGCAGGGAATTGCTGACCAGCGTGGCGTCCTGCAGCAGCAGCTCCTGCTCTGGGGCGCTGTTGCGTTGCCCGTACAGGTCTGTGCCCACCGCCAGCAGGCGCCCAGCCGAGCCCACCACGGTCACATCCTGCTTGAAGTCACCGGGCACGTTGAAGTTGAGGGTGACGGTGCAGCACACCCCGCCCTCCAGGACCATCTGGAAGGTACAGAAGTCGTCGCTGGTGATCTGGCGGATACCCTTGATGTGGTCAGTCTGCTTCACAAAGGTCTTCAGCAGCCCGTGGACCTTGACGGCCTTCTGGCTGGTAAGGAAGGTGAGCAGGTCGATGATGTAGGTGCCCACCGAGTGCAGGCCGCCGCCGCCCATCAGGTCATCGCAGCTCCAGTTGTACTTCTTGCCCAGCAGGCTGCCACTGTGCACCTGCACCTCGCACACCAGCAGCTCACCCACGTAGCCCTCCTCGATGAGCTGCTTCATGCGCACGAAGGCCGGCAGGAAGCGCAGCACGTTGCCCATGATGCTCATGAGCTTGGGGTAGTAGTGTGCGGCTGACATCATGCGGAAGGCGTCCAGGGGCGTCGCTGTGCGGTCACAGATGACATTCTTGCCTATGCCTGCAGAGTGGGAAGAAAAACAGCAGATCAGGGCACTGAGTGGAGCAAGTGATAGGGGGGTGCTGTGAACCCCAGAACTTAATTCTCCAAACAGGAGCCGGACCTGATCAGATATCCTTACTACAATTTTAAGATACTTTATAACTAATGCCTTTTATTTCTACAAAAAGAATATATATATATAATGCAGTGTTAAAGTTGAATTATACCACTAGCATTGGTTTAAAGATTACAATTAGATTTAATATATTCAAAGTTTGTTTAAGATTTAAAAATGCTAACCAATAACATAAAATGCATCATCTAGTATCAGACATAAGATTCATAAGTTGTAAAATACATGCTTAAAATATTTAAGATATATTAAAGTATACAATATAATGCTACATGTAATTATATTTTCTTTAAGACTCTTACATGTGAAATGTTTTGTTTTTATTTTATCTGTAAAATATAATAGTCATTAAAAATAGCATATGTAGAGAGCTGTATATCTGGACAGAGTCAGAATATATAATAAACTTAAATCATGCCTAAGGCGAGCCTGATTATGTATGAGGAAGAGGGCCTCCCTGGTGGCGCAAGGGGTTAAGACGCAACCTATAACGCTATCTGCAGCCACTGCAGCACGAGTTCGATCCCCAGTCAGGAAGCAACCGACAGAGCGCAACAGACCTCTCCTGTCTCACCTGCTGCTCCCCTCAGCAGTGTTCTTCAATCTGCCTATTCTTTTCCCCACTTTGTCTCTGGTCCTCTCATCCCCACATCTCTGGCCTATACCCCGGTTTTTGTTTGCATAAATAAATAAAATCTTTTAAAATAAAAAAGTATGAGGAAGAATTTCTTAATGACACCCTTCAAAGGTCTAAGCTTTTAGCTGTCTACCCCCATGACCACCATCAAAAGATTATATTTTGAGTGCACTCTAGCCTGTTTATTCTGCATCACGGATTAGAGCTGGTAGTGGTCACAGATGTGTTTGTTTAATGTTTTCCTGATCTTTACGGGAAAAGCAGATATTGCCTGAGTTTGGGGTTGGCACAGCCAATTCCCCCCCCCCCCCACTGCCATCTGCCTCACCATGGGGTTTGATGCCTTTGTCCACCGGAGGTAGACTAATGTGATGACTGTAACTGATGCATGCATCACAGGCAGACCGAGCCCTTTAGGAGACCAAGTGGCTCTGGGTTTGGAGAAAATGAAGAATCAAAGGGAAAAAAGAGTGACATGGAATGAAAACGGGGTTGATTTTGCAGAAGCCAAGAGTCAGGGAGGAAAACCAACTCAGCTGAACCTGGAGAAACAGTCAAGTGGAACTCAAAATAAAAATAAATGACATAGAAAAAGCCAGGTTAAAAGACGCAGGGTGAAAGATTTGGAGAGCTTCTGAGTAAAGGTGCTTGCCGGCCTGCAGCTGGTCTTCGGGGTCCAGTCATAGTCTGTACACCGACCTAATAAAGGGGATCTGGGCATCTCAGTCACTGATGAGTCGACCACACAGGGAAACGTGGTGATGACACACACACTTGTCCTGACTGTGGGTCCTTGAGTCAACAAAATCCATGAATCATGACAGCCTGAGCTAGAGGGTTAACACAGATGGAGGAAAGTGAATACAACTGAGGCTGTTGACTTCCATTTGCACAGCTAGTCCTGGCCCCAAGTGAAAGGCCCGGAGCCTACACCCAGGCCACAGTTCCTTGCTTGCTCCATTTTGGCAGAGCTGGCTGACTTTTCTGATGACCATGAATGAATAGTAGGAAGCTCCTTTTACTGTGAACTCTGTCAGAGGGATGAGGAAACACTGGTTTGTGTTACCTAAAGTGCCTGTACCTGTACTACCCTGTTCTGATGATGTGATTAGGTGGCTTTAGGCTCATTTACCTGGGCTCATACCCACAGGAGCAGGTTTATAGGTAAACAGATCAGGAGGTCACCGCAGATATCTGCCTCACACCTGTTGGGTTATAGGCTGTGATCTCTCCTGTATCCCACCTCAATGTGCCCCAAACCAGGACCTCTGACTGCATCTTCTCAATCATGCTAATGGTGCATGGAAAAGTTCATCTTATTCTTTTGCATTATAAAAACTCTAAAATAATAACAAATAAATTGAGAAAAATAATTTGTTCCCGCTCCATGTATCCCAAACAATCAGTGATGAAAATAATAGACTTCCTCTCCAGACAAAGCAATATGAGCATATATAATTCCACCCCATCCTGAAACTCATGCATGGCCCATCTTCCCCCGCCCACCCCCCAAGTTTCTGAGATACAGGACCTCTCCCTGTTGGCTACTTTTGTCTCCCATCCAAGTACTAACCAGGCCCAACCCTGGTTAGCTTCCAAGATCAGAATGGTCATAGACTGATGGGCTATTTTTATATGTGTGGTTCCACACTGTGCTATAAGTTCCTCAAGACTAAAGACTGGTTGTCTTTATTTCTTAAGTCTCTACTATCTGCCATTGTCACCTAGAGATGTAGTGCATGAGTGAACAGTGTTCCCTGGCTCCACTTCTGCACCCTGTCCCACCTCTGCAAACACCCACACTTCACAGATGGGTGTCAGCAACATCTGACCACATAATATTGTCAAAAGTCAAAAAAGACTTCTAGGAATCTATCATAAAGAAATCACCTAAAATTAAACACAACCCAAAGAAATCCTCTAAAATAAAGCACAGCCCAAAGATGATTCTCACTGCATTATTTATAAAGTGAAAAGCTGTGAATAATGCAAATGCCCAGCAAGGAGAGTGGGTAAATAAGCGGTTGCACAGGCGCATAATGGAGTAGTGCACAGCTATTGGAAACTATGCTTATGAAGATGCCTGCTAGTGGCAGCCAAGCTGGTTATGATGTGGTGTTAAGTGAAAAGGGTTCACAAGACACACCATGATTTCAACTCTCCCCTAAGAGAGCAAAGGAGAAAGAAATAACCCAGATGGGACTACCGCTGAATATTTATAGTGGTTAACTCTGATTCTTATCAAATTATGACTGATCTTTTTATTTTCTGAGTTTCTACTTCTACGATCAGATAAAAATATTTACTTAAACCCAAGGAGACAGGAAGGCCTTTGAAGGAGAGTGCTTACATGATGGAAGAAGGCACACCGGAGCCAGCGGTGGCTAGGCAGGCCCTGTCTTAGTTTCTGTCCCAGCGAGCTGGTAGAAGCACCGCTGACCCTGAACTCTGAAGGCTTCCAAGGCTCAGGCTATATTGCCAGGACTTTTTGCTCCAAAGCCTCAGGACTGCTTTAAGATTCTGGTAAAAGCTATGGACTGTCCCCAAAAGATGCATTTCAAACATACATACAGATCCCTACCCACAAGCTGCAGACATTTCATTCATAAATTCTAAGATAACCTTTTGAAATCCTTAGACACAATTTAAAAATCAGGTAATGTCTCCAGTTTTCAAAGGAACCCAAAATACAGAGCTAGCGTGGACCTCGTGGGTGTGTAAAAGCCAAGTGAGTTTTCCTTCCCTTCTGAACCATCTTGTCTCCTATGTGGGGAGAGGGGTTGTTTGCCAAGCCCATTTTAAAACCCACCAGTTTCTCTTTTCCAGCTTTTCCCACCTAAAGTCTGCCCTACCAAGATGCTAAGAACCAGAAATCCCAAGGTTCTTTAATAGTTTAACACGAAGGCTTAGTTTAAAGGAATACAATTTTATTTTGTTTATTTTTAATTTCAGCTTTATTAAGGTAAAATTCACATAAAATTATATTTGAAGTGTTCACCTCGATTTGACATACATATGTGTTGTGAAAGGATTCCTCCCACCTAGTTAATTAACATATCACCCCCACATATTTTTTTGGTGTATGAAGGAACATTTGGTGTATGTAGGAACATTCTACTCCCTAGCAAATTTCAATTATACAATACAGTGTTATCAACTGTAATTACCATGTCTTACTTTAGAGTCCCAGGACCTTGTTCATCTTAGAGCAGAAACTTTGTACCTAAAGGAAAACAATTTTAATTACAGACATTAGGTGCATGCGAGTGTGTATATGTATGTCAGTATATATAGGGTGTTTAGTTATATGTGTAGGTGTGTGTATGTTGGTGTGTGTGGGTATGTATGCATAGGTGTTGGGGCGGGGGTAGATGCATTAGGTGGCACAGTACAGTCTCTTCATCCCTAAAATCACTTGCAATAGAAAGGAAACTTGCACTGTCTGGGCCTAGGGCTGACATACCTGACAACCCTGGGTGTGGCATATACTACTGAACGTATGCTGGGATCTCTCCTGAAAAGCTGACAGGTGTCTGCCTTCCAAATGGCCTCTATCAGCCTGGGGTTTGGGTCTGGGTCTCCAGAAATACCAGAGGCAATTAACTTTACTGAAAGGCCAGGAGGCCACTCTACCACTCTGCATCCAAGCATTTTTCCAAGCACCACACAAAACACACTCCCTTTAGGTTTGGAGTCCATATGCGCTGTGGCAAGAATACATGTGGAGTCCTCCTTTGAAGGCAATAGATCTAAAACATTAGGACTTTACACAGTTTTAGAGAAAATCATGCTACAGATACTCAAGCAAAGGACTTAAAACAAAGGAACCCAATTCCACATCAAATAAGTGGCTAAAGGAGAAAAGTACTTTGCCAAGCCTCAAAACAGTGGTTGGAGAGTCAGCAGAGGCCCCTGGTGCTCACAATGATCTAAAGGAATGGAGGGAGCTCTCTGGGCACAGGGCTATGGAGGGTGGCGGCACACCACTGCCCCACTGGACTGCGGGCCACTCCACCACCACCACTCCACGCTCAGTTCCTCCACTGAGGGTTCTGTGTCCAGAAGTGGACAACGTGGAATCCCACTCCATTTGCCAGTGCTGTGCAGCGGCTGGAGGTAGCTGAGGAGTCCCTATTCAACAGGCCCCAGCATTCTAGGAAAATCTTCACAACCCACCCCAGTAGACCATTTGCCCTTTGAGCTGGAGCCAACTTAATTTTTTTAAGCTCAGAACCCCTTGCCACCAAA